TTTGCAGCCCAGGCTCATTGGCCATCTCGCAGATCTGCTTTGCATGGTCCTGCAGCCAGTTCCATCCAGGAGGGATCTTTGACAAAGGCATAGATTCGGATAGATGAGCAGCCTGCAGCAATCTGGCCGGATCGGCCTGTTCTTACACCATCTGATCCAACTAGACTCCTCTTTGAGGCGGTTCAACTCGCTTTCCTTCTCGAGCTTTGCCGCCGCCATCTGCTTCAAGGCCTGAGCGCTGAGCCCATGGCCCAAAACCCCCAAGACCCTACAGTGTAATAACAACAATTAGAATCATACTAACAAGAATTGTAAAAATTTGTACTGATAATAGGAATATTTAAATAATAGCAGAAATAAAACCTGATACAAAAAAAGTATAGGAAAAATACGGATAGTAACAAATAGAATACCTATAGCCAACCAGCCTATCTTTATGCCCTCTCCCGGTCCTCCTGTAGGATTTCCACACGCTCGGAATCCTGGTTGGGCCCCTTGTCCTCCTGGCGCACGCAGCACGCAGCACGAGCACAGAGCACGAAAGTCGAGGCTCTGGTAGCTTTTGTCAGAAGGAGAGGACATAAACATAACATAGTAGTCTCCATTGTCTTTTCATCATCCCTATATGACCCCAATATATATATATATACCCTATTACATGGAGTTTTCGTCGATCCTTGCGAGGATCTCCTGGGCAAGGTGCTGGTGACGGAGACCTCGGACTCCCGAGTTCAAGTAGTTCTGACTGGCGCTCATCATCGTTCTTTCCATGCCTAGCTGGGAAAGAGGGACTGGGTGAAAGGCTACACTATGGCGATTCTATTTTCGAATACTACCAGCCTTTCTACCTGTTCCAACAAGGCATGATTAGATAATTGTAGGTAATTCCTGGCGGCGCGCTTGCACCACAGAAATCTGAGGACCGAGGATGTCCTCCAAAGTCCATTGATGGCAACACTCCACGACGTGCTTAAAGATTTTAAGATGTAACGCCGGATATAATGCTTACTCTTGGAGAGCGTGCTACTCGCCTGGACGGCTCCCCAACCACGCAACCGCCGTGGCACAGGATCCAAGCGCAACCAGAAAGTTCCTTGCGCACACCTCCCAGCCCCTGGAGCTCTGAAGGGAACGGCTCTTCAACGCCAGCCTCCTGTGAAAACTGAACAAAGCCATTTAGCCTCAGGACTCTAGACCTGGACCTAGCTAGAGCTATGCGGCTATTGGAGAATTCATGTTTACACCGTCTCAGGCCACTGCCGTGCATCCCTTGCATGATCTTGCATCAGCTTCCGTGGCCTGGGCGGGGTGAATTCTGCCTCAAAACAAGAATTTCTGGACACTCACAACGATAGCATATGACAGCAAAGGCTCCAGCGCAACGGCCGACCTGGTTGCCGCGGATGCGAGGTGGCGTTGCCTGAGGAAGCAGCTGAAGATGATGAAGCAGCAAACGTACCCCTTCGTACACGATGCCATGAAATAATCCGAGCACTGAAACAATAAAGGGGCCACATTTTTAGAATGTTTTCTGGGTAGAATCAGGCTCCAAAGACTAGCTACAATTAGATGGCTTTTCGTATGGGGAAAAGAGACTAGATTTACATGAGAGTAAATTTAAGCACGTAGTTTCGTCAGGTTGTACTAGAGCTCCAAGAGCCCCAAGGATTTTTAATAGAGATTCAACACATTCCTATTCGGTTTGTACTAGAGCTCCAAGAGCCCCCATCATTCTGTTACTCTGGCGCCCTCAATTTCTGATTCTGGCGGGGGGAGGGGGGGGGGGCGGGTCCCCACCAAATTGTTCCAGTGCTCGGATTACCTCACATATCCTCACATGCTTTTTTAAGACCAAGGGCGCATGTGGTTGCGGTGGCTCGGATTTACGCATTATCGTTTGTTCAGCAGAAATTGGCAATGTGGGCTTGCCGAGCACTCAGATTCCAGGCTCCAGCTGTCGAGCGACAGATCTAATCCCTGTGATATCCTGCGATCCTAGCATGGCCTGTCCGGGCCCGGCCTGGGACACAGGAAGCGCAGCGTTCAACGCGCGGATGACGGGTGGCCGGGATGCTTGCCGGCCTCGAGCTGAGGCTTTTCTGGGACTTGGAAGCACTGTCAAACCCTGTTGCAGATTGCGCTCTTGCTTTTGTGCAATCCTGACAGGAAAGGACATACGGCAATGGCAGCACCAGCCTAGAGACGATGCAAGTAGGCAAAAGAGTACGAGTACTTAGGAGTGATTACACTGGATCACGATCGGGCTCTTTTGAGAGCTCCGCCATTCCAGGCTTCAGCTGGCACCCTGATGACCTCAGACCATTTCACAAAATTTCAGGTCAGCATGCGCTGCCCGAATGCTCTACCAGGAGCCCGACGCGAACCTGAGGTTGCAGCCGCGTCTTCAAATGGATTGTCCTCCTCAAGGCGGACCAAAGCTGAAGATCCCAAAAGCTGCGGGCATCATCCAAGAACCGACAGGAGCGGCTGCAACGCTGGGGCCAAGGCAGACGGCGGGCTGGACCTGATGGACCGTCAGCAGTTATACACACGTTGTCACTGGCTACCTCTGGGCTCCAGCTCAAAGTGCGCGACACCGTCACCACCTGAGCGTGGAAACGTTCACCGACTTTGGGCAAACACATCCAACGGTCGGGCATGACTGGACTCCGCCAAGTAGCATTTCTGGGAGTGCCGGGAGCGGCCACAGCGCCGTGGCCAGGCTGATTCAACATGGCACCCCACAAGGCGAGTTTTGTATTGATCTGTGCTTGTCAAATGCTAAGACAAAAGGGAAGTCAGACGCAGCGGGTGCTGTGTAGATTCCAGATGTGCCAGTGACGACTGCACAGGTGGGTGGAGATGCAGTTCCATGCTTCCGAGTCAAGCTCAAGCAACAGTGCTGCGCTCCCTGTCATCCCAGCCCATGCATGCTTGTTCGGAAAAAGGATTGGCCAGCTTCCTTTGTGGATTGAAGGCACGTCAACATCTGACCTCTAAATCTGCGCTAGGCCTCTAGCTCATGCCGAACCGGCGGTGGTGGGCTGACCAGGCTGCCCAAGTTTCCCATGGCTGCAGACACGTCGCACAAGGAGTTATGCCTGGGGATGCAGACCGCGAGAGTCAAAACCATCTTCAAGAGCACGGCGAAATGCTCCTACTATCTCCTATTGCCGCATCTGCGTGCGGCTTGGAACCCGCACGATGGCCGACAGGTCTCGCCAAGTCTCGCCACCCTCGCCAGGATATGGCATCGGACGCAGGCTCGATCTTGGTCTGCCAATCGGAGCTGGCGGGCTAACCGGCTGCCCAAGTTTCCTATGGCTGCACACACGTGCTACCCATCACAGAGGGCAGCACCACGATTCTGACAGTTACGCCTGGGGAAGCAGACCGCGAGAGCCAAAACCATCTGCCCACGCGGCCTTTGCCAAATCATGCCACCTGCACGGTATCAGCCCACGTTGCCTCAACCAGCGAGAACACTATCTGAGCGGTGATGGCCTAAACCCTTTGAACCTTTGGTTAAAGTAATGTTGCACTATCGCTCGCATCTGTCGCAGGCTGACGCGGCCCCAGGAATAGCTGACGCGGACGTACCTCTTCATTTTACTGACGCAATCTCCATCGCGAGGTATCGCGCACACCATAAAAGCTGACGCAGCCAATCTTTACTTTCACCCTTAGATAAAATTCCACATGCGGGGCTTTGGCCGCCGCTCATCTGTACTTTTGCGGGGCAGCATGACAGACAGCGGGCCATGCATTTCCATTGCGTAAGTAACCGGGCTTTATTAGTTCTACTTGCAGCCACCTTGTCTGCTCAAACTAATTTCAAGTTCTTTCACACCCAGTTCTTGTTGGAATCCTTGTCTGGGCAAGGCGACATTGACATCCAGAAGCCGGATGTCCAGTACATAGAAAAAAGCCGCGAGTATGAGCTTAAAGAACAGAGCTTAAAGAACAATCCTTGCTGCCATCGATTTAAGGAGTGCTTGAGGCCCCGTGCGATCGGCCCTTGCCATACAAATCCCCATAATAAAGACTACGATTATAGTATATGGGGTTCTGTCTGAAAAGCGGGGCCCTAGAGACAGCAATGGGTCCTTGCTAGAGATTGTCAACCTCCCCTCCCGTGATTAAGAAAATCGCCCTGTGCAGTCGATGCTTTTGGATTCACATGCTCGGGGGCTCCCTCAGGACCTTTGCCGCAGCAACAAAAGGCAAGTTAGCGCCCTTTCGCTTCGCGAAGTTCAGAAGCTGCGCCTGGGACTGGGATTTGCAAAAGAGTGGCCTATGAAAGGTAGGGGTCATGGGCGTGTCTCGGTGAAGCTAACGACGTCTCAGTGAAGCTAATGGTAAGCATGACTCTTCTATGACCCACAGCCCCACGGAAGCCTCAGAAACTACCACAAGCCTTATCAAATGTGCAAAAGAAAGGGGAAAAGGAAATCCAGAAATCCCTACCTCTAACCACATTGAGTAAAGGAATAAGCCAGGCGGGATGGATGCACAGTCAAATTCTGCAAGCCCTGGAAGATCGGCCTCTGCAAGCCCTGCGCTCTGCTCCGATCGGGCCTGAACCTGCCATCTCAACTGCCCTGAGCCCATCCCTGCACTGTCGAACAGAGCCGCGACCCTGACATGATAGGTCCATCCGCCTAACTCAGCCAGAGCCCTCCGGGCCGAGTGCCTCACGGCGCTGCCGCACCTTGTTCGTGCTGTCTGCCTGCAACATCTGCCCAACGGATTGATTGCCAATCAGGATGCTTACGGGGCCTCCTCTTGCTTCTGCTGCTTGATCAATTGATGAAGTGCTGCCCTGGCCGCTTTGCCCTGTCCTGCGAAGCTTGCATGCATCTGGCTACACTGCAACAGACTTAAGCAGCGGGTCCTTTGCCCATTCCGCCCTTCTCCTGCCGGTGCAAGAGGATGCTAAAAGGGGCCCTCGGGGTGACAACGACCCGTTACTGCAGCGCGCCTGTCCCCTTGGCGGTGAATTTGAGGAACCAAAGCTCCTAGAAGATGTTGTCACCTGCTTCAGCCACCAACCTGCCAGAGCTGCATGCTGGCCCTGCTTTTCTGGTACTGCCTCATCGCTAAACTTGCGTCGGCGGAGAGGTGGCCTCACTGGGAGCCGTCATGATAGAGATAAAGCCAACAGATTGGCACGTTGATGTGGGCTACGGCCCCCACTTTTGCTGCGCCTTTGTGCCCTCACCGCCCCAACCTTTCGACATTAGGCTTGTTTTCAAAATTATGGGCCTTTGCATTTTAGACTATATTACGGCACCTAATTTTTAAGGGTACCAAAATGGACCCAAATTTTGGGAACTGCCCATTAAATCCTGCCTCCCTTCTTCTGTGTTGAGGCTTCGTGCCATTTTAACCATGTCTGAGCAATGAGCTGCAGGCTGCAAAGCCTTGAACAGTGCTGGGGGTCTCCCAGAACTGGGGGTACCTCTTTGAGAATCCGTTTAATAAGGTTTATAGTATTTGGGGTCTACACTAGGGTCCCCTTTTAGGAAGCTACCTGCTAGAATCCCGCGAAATCAGAGCCGTGATAGCGCTTAGGGTTTAATGAAGACCCCTGATTAAGGCAAACCCCCCTCCTTTGAAGGGCCTTAATATCAGGATCCCGATTGTAATCCCTATTAATGAGAAGGGGTTTATTAATCATGGGTCTACGAAAAGGCGGCTTCCGGCTCAGAGACGCGGGTCCTGCCAGGCTCTCACAGAGATTTGGAGTGGTAAACTACTATATCATTTAGGTGGACCTCCCACCCAGTAATACTGACTATAACGGATAATAGGGATTATTTTCTTATTATACCACTATTACAGGGTGGGAGGTCCTCCTAATATATCATAATTGGGTTCATAGGGGTTATATGGGGCTTATATAACTACAGTCGAAAAGAAAATGGAAACTACTACATTATAAGGGGGCATATATTGGAGTACTGACTTTGTGTCAGATGTTAGGAAGGTCGCGCGGACAGCGGCTGCAAATTTTCAAAGGTTGCCGTCAGCATGAGTAGCACTTGGACTTGACATCTGGGAATGTGGGAATATATGGGGGGCAACATCGGAATAGTGGAAAAGAATATGGAAACTACTATGTTATATTATTTTGTATATTGTGGTTATAAGAGTCATGATAGTAATACTAGTAATAATAGCAATTCTAACAGTAATAGTAAGCATAACAATAATAACACTAATAAAAACAACAATAGAAATGATGGTAATCATACTAATAATAACAATCTAATGGGGTATATATTGGAGTATGGAGCCGGGCATGAGCCTGGAGCAATGAGGCTTTCATGATACTCGTTCTGTTGCACGTTGCACATGGCTTTTTCCGCCTCTAGGCCTCCAACGCTGCCCCGATATGAGCTATAGTCTAAACTCCTAGTATCCCCCTTAATAACCCCTATAGTAGTCCCCTATAGAATCCCCTACATAACCCCCTTAAAGGAGTTTAGACTATAGCTCATATGAGGTAGCTTAACCCTAACAGAAGGTTGAATCCGCCCTCGACATGCCGGCAGGCTTCAACCCGCCAGCATGATCATGCACAATGCCGGCACTGGTCGCGATAACGGATGAAACTGAATGCAGCCCCTGTGTACACAGAAGAGCTCAGCTACAGGTACATCCGCAAAATTGGTCTGCACGGCAAATAACTTCAAAATTCAAGGTGAATTTATGATCTTTTGGCCGACCAAGGCCTTCATTCGCCCATGTGTGATGGAAATCGCCGCTCTTTCGCTGCTGCAAAGAGGCGCGAAATTGTAATTCGCAAGTGCCTGTAGGCACTGACCATCTGCTTCTTTTCTTTCAGGCCTCTGACGCCATTGATGGCCACAATGTTGTAGCCAGCCCGCACGACCAACTCAGGATTCTTTCTGAAATTATCCATGTTCCATCTGTAAATCAACCCCCCGGGCTTGATGTTGGTGATTCGCATCCCCTCTGTTTCATCAATGCTCACACCGAGCCTGTCACCCTCCGTCTTGACAACTCCAATGGTAAACTCCGCCTCCCGGCCTTTATCCTCAGGACGCAAGATCTCGGTGGAAATGAGCTTTAGTAGTAATAATAGTAGTAATAAAAATAATAGTAAGAATAGTAATAACTGTATTCATGGTAATATCTGTCCTCAGGACGCAAGATCTCAGTGGATATGAGCTTCTTCCAGGATGTCCAGGTCTCCGGCCCCAAGGCGTACTCCTCCTCTGTGACCAAAGCGTCATCCAAGATCTTCCGGACTGACTCCTCTTCGAGGGCACCGATGAAGACCAACTCCTGGCGTCGGTCGCCATAGGGATGTTGGCCTGGGTTGCTGTGAAGGAATTTCAAGTAAATTACTATCTTGGGGAAACCATACTGATTCCTGCATGTACCCATTCTGGTACGTTAAGTTAAATTCCGTGAAACCCTAAGCCCCAAACCCATCATGGTAACTTAAGTTCCTAAGCCCCAAACCCTAAACCCTAGACTTAACTTAAGTTCCCTAACAGCAACCTAGTGGCCGTACTTGGCCTTCATCGCCTCGGGCCAGGTCGGACGGGAGATTCCGAGCGGCAACCAGCTAAAGCCTCCCTTCAGCGCAGTGAAGGCTCCGGCCTGGGCTTATAGGGTTTAGCGTTAGGATGTGGGATTTGGGGTTCAAGGTTTGGGGTTTGGGTTTACGTAGGCTGTTTTGTACGCGCCTCTTTACCCGCTGCATGGCTAGGTTTACGTAGGGTTTAGGGTTGAAGCTCTAGGGTTTAGGGTTTAGGGCTTGGGGATTGGGGGTTAACCCCGATATATACCCATTAACCGCATTCTACTATAGTAGTTTCCAATTTCTTTTCCATTCTCCTCATATCCTATATACCCTATTATACTGTAGTAGTTGCCATTTTCTTTTCCATTATTTATATAAGCCCCATATATATATATATCCTATTATACTATAGTAGTTTCCCTTTTCTTTTCCATTATCCTTATATATATATGCCCCTTAGAACCCCTAGAATCCCTATATAACCCGTATATAACCCCTATAATCCCTATAGTTTCCATTTTCTTTTCCATTATCCCTATAGAACTCCTGGAATTCATTCCATAGCCTGGCTCCATTCCACGGCCAGGAGATGATCACTGGCACTCCAAGCATAGCCCTTGGAGCGCAAAACCCCCGGAAGCGGACCACGCTTGAGCCTGTTGTCCCGTTCGACCTAGATTAAAAATAGTATGTTTACTAATTCCTTAGGGTTATACTATGATAAAAAGTAGAAATAATTCCTAAGGAGACTACAGTAGCAGCTCTTCCAAGCGATCTGGGTGGAATGGCCGGTCACCCCGATATACGAAGCTAGAGATTCCATACTCTTCGGTTTCGGGTGTGTGCGCGACTCCGCTCAGTTCAACCTGCCAACCAGGATGCATGCTTGCAGAGTCCAGATCGAAGGTCTTGGTGTTCAAAAGCAATTCCAAGTTGACCACGCCGTGCTGGCTCTCAATGATATGCGCGCCGGGGTTAAGCTTCCTGAGCAGTTGTCTGAGATCCCCCAGCTCATCGGAGGATACAAGGTCGGTTTTATTGAGTACCAGGACATTTGCGAACTCTGCTTGATCAATCAGCAGATCCACGATAGTCCGCTCATCGCCCTTTTCGGCTCCCAGCTCTTTTCTGTCCACTGCCTGTTCGAGGCTTTGGTAGTCCTTGAGGAAATTTGCACAATCGATCACAGTTGCACATGTATCTAAAGTAGCAAGCTCCCCGAGAAGAGGCTTCCCTTTCTCGTCCTTGGCAACAAAGCTGGTTGCCACAGGCAACGGTTCCGAGATACCGGTGCTTTCAATGATCAAGTAATCAAAGCGGTTCTCCAACGCCAGGTCACGGACATTCTTGATCAAGTCATCGCGGAGCGTGCAACAAATGCAACCGTTGTGGAGTTCGACCATCTTATCCTTGCTTTCGCTGAACTGCACACCCTGCTTCAACAACTCTTCGTCTACATTTATGGACGCCATGTCATTAACCAGCACTGCAACACGTAGACCTTCACGGTTCGTCAGAATGTGGGTGAGCATCGTCGTTTTTCCAGCCCCAAGAAATCCACTGAGGACAGTTACAGGCAACTTCTGCGCTGGGAGAACTAAGAGATTTGTAGCCTTCAATGCCTTGGCCCCTTGCGGTAAGCCAAAATCGACACCGACTCGATCTCCCTCAAAAGCGCAGACTTTGCCCACGCATCCGTTCAAGTGAGGAGCATTGACAAGGGAATGTGCCTCAACACGAGCGCCGATATCCATGGCTGCCATCGCCATCACGATCTTGAACCCCTTCGGGCTCAAGCTGCCGAAGCATGAAGCGAGCCAAAACCAGGTTTGGGGTTGCGAAGCCGGCTAAATACGTCAGCCATGCGTTCTGAAGATGAACTTCTTGTGCCTTTCCTCGGGAACTCATAGACTGCGCGAAGGAGTTTCGGGGAGGAACTGCTAAAGCCATTCATGTGACATGGACCAGCCTCCTACAAGAACTCCGTACATGACTCACGAGGTCCACAAGATACTGGAATCCAAATACATCTTACTGGTTGTTAATAGAGAATATGGAAAATGCTCCCTATATGACCCCAATACAATATACTCCCCTATTCCCTACCAAACCCTTATTTCCTACTTGGAGGGTCAGGGGGACTTAGTAAGTAGGTTAATAATGGGGATATTTAGGGCTATTTTATTGGGTTATAGCCCCTCCCCCCCGCTCCCATGGTGGGTGGCCTAGTTCAGCCTGAACATGCCGCGTGAAATTCTAGCTTCGCCCCAGATTTGAAGCTGTCGCAGTACGCGGCAGCAAGCATTTGAATGCTGCAACATGCATGCAACAAACAGTCTGAAGTGAGGCTTGCCTCCGTTACTCCCTCGACCTTAAACTACGGGTCAACTACATGCCATCACCTATTCGTGTGCTCCGCCCCCCGCCGGCCGAGGCGGGTGCGCGATAGCGTTTATAGTTAACCCTTACTAATTCCCCCTGACCCTACCAAACCCCAGTAAGTAAATCCCCGCGAAGGGCGTACCTCGAGCTACCAGCTGCGCGAGGCACCCGCCCTGGCAAGCCTGAAGACTGCAGGGCAAGGGATTGTTGGTTTGAGCTATAGTCTAAACTCCTAGTATCCCCATTACCAACCCCTATGATATATGGTTTAGGGTCTAAACTCCTAGCATCCCCCTCCATAACCCCTATAATGCTCCCCTGTAAGCACCCCTACATAGCCTAAAAAATAATACTCCCCTGTAGAAAACCCAATATAACCCCCTTCAAAGAGTTAAACTACAGCTCGTGTAAGGACCTGGGGGCGTGAGTATTTGGACCCTTGTTCAGGCTGCTATTGTCATTATTGAAATTCAAATTACTAATACTGCTATTATTCTTACTGTTATCTTTATTTGTATTGTAATTATGACTTCTTTTCCTATTATTAGTTTTCCTGTTATTGAAAATACTAGTGCTACGACTATAACTCTGACCGTTTGTACGACTATCAGAATTCCCATGACGATTACAATTGCCACGACCACGGCTATGACTTCTACCCCACACCCCCCCAAACCCTAAATCCCTAAACCCCAGACCCCCTAAACCCTAAATCCTTACCCCCCCCGGCTGTTATTTTTTACCCTTCATCTTTTGGATTCGCAGTTGTCGCTGAAGTTGGGGGTTTCGCGCTCACTGTGCTAAAGCTGGAGGCCAGCTTACTTACTATGACCCTCAACCCTAAACCCCTGAAAACGACCGTAAGTTTGGGGTTTAGGCTTCGCGTTTAAGGGTTTAGGGTTTGGAGTTAGTGTTGCAATGATAACAAGTATTCATTACCATGGTTGCTGTGAAGATGGTGACGATTATTGCCAGTACGGTTATCCTTTTAAATGTGATTCGTTCCAGTACTATAAGTTTGGTGGCTGCATTGTCAGGAACGATCATGATGATTACAATTGCTGTTGCTACCACTATGAACAATATCATTGAAATTATTGAGGTCATAGTTTCTGTTGTCGTTTTTCATCATCACTGTTTCTACTACTGTTCGAAGTATAACAAGTCAACTACTGTTTTTTGCCATTGCGAGCATCAACAGCATTATTTCATTCCTAGTACTAGCGCTCCTCCTATTACCATACGTATTGTTATACCTTATTATCATCCTTATTACCATAGTCCCCATAAGTCAATTGAATATGGTTTTGGGTCTATTATAATAAGATCCCCATACGTACACCCTATACTCTATCTAGTTAAGGGGGACTATAATCATTCAAGATCAAGATCTGCGGTGTGCCAAGTATGCAGTTTGAGTATGCTTGTTCCGAACAGAAACTAGGAACAGACTTCTCCTGCCCTTGCGCTGCTGCCATGATTGCTGGACGGCGCAGATCCACATGAGCCGTTTCTAAACATCTTCGAACATGTTTCATGATGCAGGAATATAATTGAGGAGTGGGGCATTCGCTCAACAATTCTCAGCTTCCCGTAAAAGCGAGGACTGAATTTCGTACATAATGCTACTTTTCTGGGGCATCGCTAGATGCCAATCAAAGGTTCCATGGCCTCGAAGGTCGAAGGGTTCGCCCTCGAAAGCTTCGAGACCGCAGTTCTCATGTTCCAAAAGCCGCTGACACAACCACACCGCTTCGCGGCTTTCAGGTGGAAACAGGAAGGCTTGAAAAGACTCATCAAGACATGTCAACAAAACCAAGTGCCAAACGGGTTACCCGTCGACACCCAGCAAGATCTCCGGCGAACGCATGGATCAAGAACTCAGGTGCAGACTGGCCGGCGGCAAGGTCTGCCGCATTGTAGCCATGTACGTTGCGAAAATCGGTCCTAGCCGAAGTCACTAGGGCGGCTGCTGCTTCGTACTGGCCTGCTAATACCTGAGTTGCTGGTAAGGAATTGAAATTAAGTTACCGTAATGTTATTTAACTACATGCCCATAATATGGTAACTTGAATCAATTTCTTGAGCAGCAGCCCAGATACTGTTGTCATCAAAGCTGTTGTGCCTTCGGCATGATAGCACAGCCTTGAAGCCTCAGCCAGCATCCAAACACTCGGCCCCAAGTAGTCGTACAGAGTGCAATCATGGAGAATCAAATGGAAAAGAAACATGGAACATGCAACGGGTACTTATAAGTACATGTGTAAAAGGTCAAAAGGTTATATACAGGTTGATATAGGGATATTTCGAATGCTGAGGTTGTATAGGGATCTATAAGGATAATGGAAAAGAACCTGGAAACTACTGGGATTTTGTAGGGGTTATATGGGGATTACATAAGGATAATACAAAAGAACATGGAAACTAATATGAGGCTTTAGGGTCCACCAAGCCATCTGGGGTCCTGGCCACTGGGATTCTGTAGGGGTTACATAGGGATTTATAAGGATAATGGAAAAGAACATGGAAACTACTGGGATTTTGTAGGGGTTATATAGGGATTTATAAGGATAATGGAACAGAACATGGAAACTACTGGGATTTGAGAGGGGTTATATAGGGATGATATAAGGATAGTGGAACAGAATATGGAAATTAATATGAGCTCTTGGGCGGTTTAGGGATATATTACCCCACTATAATGGAACATCAGAATGACTGTGCACGCAATGTCGCTCCAAATTGGGGGCCTTTGCGGGATCACTAGATTAGACCATGAAGAAGTCAACTTGTTTGCCTCTTAATTGAACTCCAAACCCTAAACACTAAACCCCTAAGCCCTAAACCCCTAAACCCTAGGGTGCCGTCCTTACATCAAAGTGATATTGCCTGTTCGCGTCTGCCCTCAGCTCTACCAGCCGCAGCATCACGTCCGTGCCAGCTCGTCCAAATAAAGCCGAAAACAGCCTAAGGGTTTAGGGTTAAGGGTTTAGGTTTTAGGGTTTAGGGCTAGGCGCTGACCATTCCTACTGTTTTATAATAAGGTATATAGGGGTATATAAGGGCTACATAACTCTAAATAATTTCCATTTTCTGTTCCATTATCCCTATATAATCCCTGTATAACCTTTATATGGGGGTATATAGGGCTTGTATAGGGATAATGGAAGAGAAAATGGAAACTACTCAGAGCTTCAGGCTAAGCGCTAAGCTTGCAAGTATCTTGTTCGTGCATATGCTCTCCGAGCAGGATTCAGCAGAATATAGGGTTATATAGGGATATAATGTCGGGTTATAATATAGGGCTTTATAAGGATAATGGAAAAGAAAATGGAAATAATATAGGGGTATAATATAGGGCCATAAAGGGATAGTGGAAAAGAAAATGGAAATTACTATTTCGACCCTTTGCGGCCCAGCATCAGAGCTCGGGACAAGTCAAGCCCGCCTTTCGCCTGCTTGTACAGCTCTTCCAAAGTTGCGCTCGCCCCATGTATGCCACAAATGTCGACAACCGCCAAACCTTAAAATGGGTTTTGGGTCCAGCAACAAGGAGGAAAGTCCCAGTCCCATCAAGGTCCCATGGAAATGGAGTTTGTAAGTGATAAGAAAAACCTCAGGCCACAAGAAGACCAAAAGGCGTCATTAGATAAATAATAGCTTCCATTTCTTTTCCATTATCCCAATGTAACCCCAATACTACCCCTTTATAACCCCAGTAGATACCCCAATATACTATAAGAGTTTCCATTTTCCCGTGATCCCAATACAACCCTATATGTAATCCCCTATTTAATGCAACGTATAGCCCTCTCTACGGAGTGCAGACAATAGCTCATCTCTTAAACTATGATTGTATGTGCTAACGGCAGCCCGACCATAGCTGAGACACCATAGCCAGTTTCGTGGTCCTCAACTGACCAGGCATTAGCTACCAAAAAACAGGGCCTCAAACAAAACACACAGTGAATGAAGTTCTTCTCTGTGCTACGTTGGATAATGGAAATCCTTATTGACCCTAAGTAACTTATTATACCTCAGGATGGCGAAAGTATATTAAGGTCATTTAGTATCAACAGTAGCGAGCTTCTAGTGCGAGAGGGCTAAGGCCTGCCTCACAAATGAGGCGAACACCCTCCGCGTTATCGCTGACGCAAGCTGCTGACAGGTGAGAGCCAATGAGTTTGGCTCCTGCCGCGATCCTTACTGGTCGATTCGACCAGAAGCACAACTCACTCCACGGAGACTGATCCATTACAGTGATAACAGCAACAATGGCTTTAATAGTAGTAGTGGTAGTAGTAGTAATAATAATGGATTGTGATAATCGTAACAATGATAATACTGCCGCAATAAACGTTGTTCGAACCCTGCAGGTGGAGAATGACCCCTGCACACTGCCAACTGCTTTCTGGCCTCAGGAATAACTCTGCAACCTTCGGAAAAACTTGCTGCAGGGTTTAGGGTTTAGAGTCCCCAAAGTGGCTCCTAAACGTAGACCTCCTGTAGCATGACATCCCTCAAGGCACCCAGCAGCTGCCCGACTATGAGACCCGCGCCCAGCATCCTTGGTAGACTAAACCCCTAAGCCCTAAACCCCTAAACCCTAAACCCTAAACCTAGCCCAGAGTCAGCACCTTGGCAGCTTCGTTGTTCTTGCACTGCATGCAGCAGTACAACGGGCTGCATTTCTTGGGGGTTCCTTAGGTGCCAAGTATTTGTTACCGACAAAGGTGGGGGTGTCTTAAAATTAGGGGTACCTTTATGGATGCCCAAGGATTGTAGGGTTTTTGGAGTCCATATTGGAGTCCCCCTATGTTGGGAAACTACCAGTTACGCTGGTATCTTCCTCCCCCGTCAAAGGGCCCCTCTAGAACCTTCTGTTCCCCAGCTATGTGCCAATTACCAAAACTAGGTAGAATGATGGCCCAAAACCCCTTGCAACAGCCCAAAAGGTAATTATTCTACATACCCTTAGAGGTTTAGGTATGTACAAACCTCAAATCTTCAACCGCTGCGCGAAACCTGATAGTTTCCCCTAGTAGGGGGACCCCAGTCCTTATTGTAGGGATCCCTACTTTTGGGAGACCCCCACCTTGACACCTGCTCATTAGATGAATAGTAGTTTCCATTTTCTTTTCCATTACCCCAGTATAACCCCAATACTACGCCTATATAACCCCAATATATACCCCAATATACTATAATAGTTTCCATTTTCTTTTCCATTATCCCTATATAACCTCAATATATACCCCAGTATAACCCTAAACTCATGGCATAGGCCGCCCACCTTCGATGGTGGGCGGCGCTTATGCCCTCGACATCGATGGCGCAGGTCGATCCAGCACGCTCGCCTGCCTTCTCACAACAAGGGGTACTGTAGCAGCCACGAGAGGCCAGGTACCTGGAGGAGTTCTCCTCGAAACCAGTACTGGTTCCTTTATAAAGTCAATACCCTAAACCTAACCGGTGGATCCTGGAAGGTCTGGGGGTCCAGGGCCCTCTGCGAGCGAATTTCAGGACCAGGGCCTGTAGCGGCCTCCAAGTTTCCAACAAGGTTCCAAGGGCCTCCAGGACTCTCCAGGGCCTCCAGAGGCCTCCAGGGGCCTCCAGGCCTGTAGGGCCTCCAGGGCTCCCAAGGCCTCCAGGCACCTCCCAGATGCCAGGAGCAGCCTGCAAAAGCATGTTCAGGCGCCTTGAGCTGCAAGAGCCTCCAAGCGCCTCCAAGGGCCGGGCCTCCACCTCCTCCAAAAAACTCCAGACCGCACCTGCATTCAGGACCTTCAGCGTACACAAAT